ATTTGCAGATTTAATTATGGTCCCTAATCAGTTGACATCAAGTTAATCAAAAGGGAGATTATCCTGGGGAGGCTTTACCTCCCTTAAAAGAGATAAGCAGCAGCAACAGCAGAGATTCTTCTCCTGGCTTCGAAAAAGTAAGCTTCATATTGAGAGGATCTATGTCTGTGTGTGTCGCACATAATAAGGACATGAGGGTTGACCTCTAGAAGATTGATAGGGTTTGGCTATGTCCCAGGATTCAGGAGGGAACCACGGGGAGGTAACTGAATCATGCGGGCCGGTCTTCCCTGTGCTATTCTCATGATAGTGAATAAGTCTCACAAGATCTGATGGGTTTATCAGGGGTTTCCGCTTTTGCTTCATTTTCTCTTGCTGCCACCATGTAAGAAGTGCCTTTTGCCTCCCGCCATGATTCTGAGGCCTCCTCAGTCATGTGGAACTGTAAGTCCAATTAAACCTCTTCTCAGTCTTGGATATGGCTTTATCAGCAGCATGAAAATGGACTAATACAAAAATGAAAACCTCCATTGCACATCTAAAAGGAAGACAATTTTTCCAATGAGCTTCTAAGAAAATTGAAAGATGAGATCGCATCCCTGGCTGACACTTTGATTTCACCCTAGTGATATCCTGAGCAAAGAGTTGAGTTAACTTGTATCTGATCTCTTGACCCAGAAAACTGACAGTTAATCAATTTGTGTGATTTGAATCCATTGAGTTTGTGGCAATTTGTTACATAACAATATAAAATAAATACTCTCATTAATATTCTTTGCTTTGAAATATACTTTGATATTAATAAAGCCACATAATCTATCTTTTGATTAGTGTTAGCATGGTATATATCTTTTTGCATCTCTACTTTTAACTTATTTGTACCTATATATTTAAACGAATTTCTTATAGGCAGCATATAGTTGAGTCTTGCTTTTTAATCTAATCTCACTAGGGTGTTTAGTTCATCTACATTTAATGTGATTAGATGATTGGGTTTAAGTCTATCATCTTGCTGTTTGTTTTCTATTTGTCCCATCTTTTCTTTATAATTATTTTTATAGTTACATTTTATCTCCTTTGTTGCCTTCCCAACAAAACTTTTGTGTTATTTTACTGGTTACTTATCGGTCTACCTTGAAGTGATATATACCATTTCATATGTAAGAATGGTAAAGCAATACCCCCAGGTCTTCCCTTTGGGCCTTTGTATCAAAATGTCAGACATTTTGCTTCTTTTAAAACTTTTTTTTTTTTTTAGAGACAAGGTTTCACTCTGTTGCCCAGGCTGGACTGTAGTGGCACAATCACAGCTCACTGCAGCCTCAAACCCCTGGATTCAGGTGATCCTTCTGCCTCAGCCTCCTGAGTAGCCAGGACTACAGCAACACATCACTGCATCCAGATTTTTAATTTTTTTTTTCTAGAGATGAGGTCTTGCTATATTGCAAAGGCTGGTCTTGAACTTTTGGGCTCAAGTAATCCTCCTGGCTCAGCCTCATAAAGTGCTGGGATTACAAGTGTGAGCCACCATGCCCCGTCCACTACTTTTATTTTTGAAAGATATTTTCATTGGATATAGAATTCTAGATTGACAGTTTGTTTTTCCTTTCAGTACTCTAAATATCTCACTGAACTGTTTTTTGGTTTGCAGTGTATTTGATAAGTAGTCTGAGCTTTGTTCTATATGTAATGTCTTGCCCCCAGCTATTTTTAAGATTTTCTCCATCCCTAATTTTAGGCCTTTTGATTATATCTCCTTTGAAATATTTCATGTTTCTTGTGTTTGGTGTTCATTGAACTTCCTAGATCTCTGAGTTTACAGTTTTCATCAAATTTGAACAAATTGTGTCCATTTTTTTTCTGCACATATTCTTTTCTTTTCTGTCTCCTTCTCTGTCTGGTAACTCCAATTACACATAACTTGAAGTTGTCCCACAATTGACAGATTTTCTGGACTTTTTTTTCAGTCTTGTTTCTCTCACTTTCATTTTGAATTTTTTTTTTTTTTCCTTGAGACAGACTCTCACCCTGTTGCCCAGGTTGGGGTGCAGTGGTACAATCTCAGTTCACTGCAATCTCTGCCTCCCGGGTTTAGGCGATTCTCCTGCCCCAGTCGCCCCAGTAGCTGGGACTACAGGTGTGCATCACCACAACTGGCTAATTTCTATATTTTTGGTAGAGACAGGATTTTGTCATATTGGCCAGCCTACATTGTTTCATTTTGAATAGTTTCAATGGTTACGTCTTCAACTTCACTCATCTTTTCTTCTGGAATATCTAACCTATTAATCTCATCCAGTGTATTTCTGATCTCAGACATTATAACTTTCATCTGTAGACATTAGTTTTGGGTTTCTTATATATATTATGTCTCTTTACTTGCTCAACCTTTCCTCTAGCCTCGTTAATGCATGCAATTGTTACAGTTACAATGTCTTTGTCTACTAATTCTATCATCTGTGTCATTTTTACATTGGTTTCACTTGTTGGCTTTTTTCCTTCTCACTATCGGTTATATTTTCCTGCTTCTCTGCATGCCTGGTAATTTCTTATTGGATGCCAAACATTATAAATTTACTTTAGCTATTTTTGTATTCCTATAAATATTCTTCAGCTTTGTTCTGGGATATAGTTATTTGAAAACGTATTTCAAATAAGGAACAAATGTTTGATCCTCTTAGGCCTTGCTTTTAAACTTCGTTAGGTGGGAACCAAATATTCAGTCTATGGTTTATTTTACTACACTATGGAGCAAAACTCTCTCTGAGTATTCTACCCAATGCCCTGTGAATTATGAACTTTTCCTCTCTGCCGGTGGGAACAGGAAGTATTATTAACATTGTATATGCTCCTGACATTGTTCCTTGTAACTTTTTTGAGTGGTTCTTGTTCTGGTCTCAGGAAATATATTTACACGCAGGCACCGACCCATTGTCTGCTATCATTTGAATAGAATCCTCTTATGATCTCTGGAGCTCTCTGTGGAGCTCTATCTGGCACTCTGTCCTGCAAAGTCTAGTCACCATGGCCTCCTCAAACTCTCAGCACCATGTCCATCTCTGCTGTTATCTGCCTGTTTTTCCCTCCTTTAGCTGCAATCTGGAAACTCTCTCCAGAAAGCAAGCTGGGTAATTGTAGGGCTCACCTGGTTTGTTTCCTGTCTCTCAGAGATCTTTCCACAGCCTGGTGAAGAGTATCTTGAAAACTACTGTTTTTTTGTTGTTGCTCTTTCTTTGTTTTTGAGATGGAGTCTCACTCTGTAGTCCATACTGGAGTGCAGTGACACAATCTCGGCTCACTGCAACCTCTGCCTCCCAGGTTCAAGCGATTCTTGTGTCTCAGCCTCCCAAGTGGCTGGTACTACAGACGTGCACCACCATACCCCAGCTGATTTTTTGCGTTTTTCAGTAGAGACAGGGTTGGCCAGGCTGGGCTTGAACTCCTGACCTCAAGTGATTTGGCCTCCCAAAGTGCTGAGATTACAGGCATGAGCCACTGTGCCCGGCCCTTGAAAACTATTGTTTCATGTATTTTGTATAATTTTATTAGATCTTTCATGTATGAAGGCAAATACAGTCCTGTTAATCCACGTTGGCAGGAAGAAGTTCAGGATTTCTTTTCTGGATATGTTAAATTTAAGATGTCTACTGGCATCTAAGTGAAAGGGCCAAGTTGGCTGTTGGATTACTTCTTTTTGAGTCTAGAGCTCAAAATGATACCAGGGATACAGATACACATTTATGAAATATCAGAGTTTAGATGGAATTTAAAGCTGTGAGACTGAATGAAATAATTTAAGAAGGGATTGGCAAACTATGGCTCATGGGCCAAATCTGGCTCCATCAGATTTTTTTAATGAGTAAAGTTTTCATATGTTTTATAAGTAAAGTTTTATAGAAACACAGCTATGCCCATTTGTTTAGATACTGTTTTAAGGCTGCTTTTGCACAACAGAGTTCAGTATCTGCAACAGAGGCATCTGCCCTGCAAAGTCTAAAATACCTATTACCTGGATCTTTACAGAAAAAGATCGCCAGAAAAAGACTGCCCTTGAGCTATAAAATCAATGTACAAAGAGAATGCCAGTGGATTAAATTCTGCAGAACTTCTATTTTTTTTTTTTTTTGAGACAGAGTTTCACTGTGTTGCCCAGGCTGGAGTGCAGCTGCCCAGTCTCGGCTCACTGCAACCTCCACCTCCTGGGTTCAAGCAATTCTCCTGCCTCAGCCTCCCAAGTAGGTGGGACTACAGGCGCCGCCACCATGCCTGGCTAATTTTTTTCTATTTTTAGTAGAGATGGGGTTTCACTATGTTGGCCAGGCTGGTCTTGAACTCTTGACCTCGTGATCCGCCCACCTCGGCCTCCCAAAGTGCTGGGATTACACGCATGAGCCACTGTGCCCAGCCTGGAGGTTTTTAAAAAATAGGAGATATTATGGCACATTTGAAACTTGATGAATATGCTCTAGAACAGAGGCAAAACTGATGAAGAGGTATAAGATGGGGACAATGAGAGATATTGAAGGAACAAGGGAGGAAATGAGACAAAGGCAGTAAGTGGACGCTCCTGCTGAAACACGTGGGATGCACATTGCCACTGTCTTTTGTCTCCCTTGAGTTATTGGCTGGGCTGGTTGGGTGGCTGCTATAACTGCTATAAGAGCAGGTAGGTATTTCCAGGACAATTAAAAATTATATTTCACAGAGACATACTTTGAGAAACGGTGAAATTTGTATCCCGTTATCAAAGGGTTTACATAATCCATAATAAAGCTAAATTATATTCTTATGGCATGTAAGTTATAACACAACTGGTAATAAAGTACTATTAGGACGAGAGTTCAACTACATTAATAAGCTGAAAAGACTCTGATGCCTAAGAACTAAATAATCGTTTCTAAAGTTATTATAATAGAAAATGTGTTTCAAGATTTTTAATTAAATATTTACAGAAAGCTTTAGAACTCTGCTTAGTTTTAAGTTAAGGATGGTGAACTTACCAATCCTCATCAGCCAAAAGCCTCAGGGCTTCTGTCAGTGCTATTTCTGGTTTAGAGAATGGTCGTAGTTCTGATAGATCCATTATTTCTGGACTATGAGTGACAGAAGGCATCCTTTCTTTATACTGTGAAATGACTCCAGTAGATGTTTCACCTAAAACAAAATATATTAAACTATGAGAGAACCTTTTTTTACAAATGTTTATCTTTTTGAGATGGAGTGTCGCTCTGTTGCCCAGGCTTGGGTGCAGTAGTGCAATCTCAGCTCACTGCAACCTCTGCCACCTGGTTCAAGCGATTCTCCTGCCTCAGCCTCCCAAGTAGCTGGGACTACTGGCGCGCACCACCATGCGCGGCTAATTTTTGTATTTTTAGTAGAGACAGGGTTTCACCATGTTGGTCAAGCTGATCTTGAACTCGTGACCTCAAGCAGTCCATCCGCGTCAGCCTCCCAAAGTGCTGGGATTACAGGCGTGAGCCACCATGCCCGGCCAAGAAGACCTTCATACAAAGGATACAAACATTATTCTGACTACAGTTGTGATGAACATTTATTATGGAAACATAGTACTATTAGTTTAGTCTTGAGGAAAATTACAGTACCCAGAAACCAAAACTATTGAAAACTTTACTTTTTATATGCAAAATTATTAACAAATTATATTTAATAAAAATATAAGTAGTTTTTCAGTCATGAGTCATAACAAAGTCTGGCTTTATTTTAACAGCTAAAAGTCAAAGAAGCAGTATGATCCCATTTTGTAAAAATGTGGATATATACCTGTTTCATAACTGAGAAGTGAAGATGAAGGTTCATGGCATCTGTATGTAGAATTCTAGTTGATTTTCTCTATTGATATAGAATTAGTGGCCTATTACAAATTCTAAGACCATGTGTAGTAATAAGAATGATGTTTCTTCTGTAATAAGACATTGACCAAGCATTTTCCAGATGTAAGGCACTGTACTATAAGTTGAGAACATAAATCATCCTCTTTGAGTGCTCAGGATAATATCCTTGAGAGCACTGTATAATGCGAGACACATGCAGTGGAGATATTAAAAAGAAAAGGGTCAAGTAGAATGGGCTTTTATAAGTAGGAAGATTTACTGGCTCTTTTTCCATATTAAGAGATACTTTTAGAAAGGAAATATTAGTCACTAGAAAATAACTATCATAAAAAATTACTTATTAACCATGCTATCTGTGACAAAACGTTACCTGAAATCACAAATATAAGAAATTTCACTTGATGTTGCATACTAATTACATATTCAGAGTTGGTCATTTAAAATCCAAAGGCAACAAGGTGTTAATGATATTAGCTGACATTTATTAAATACTATGCACCAGACCTTGGGATAAATGCTTTGCAAACTTTACTGCATTTAATTATCTCAACAAAGTTGAGGTAGGCATTCTAACTATCTTTATTTGCAGCTGAGAAAATAATTGCGTTTTACAGAGACTAAGAAATTTACTTAAGGTTCCATTGCTAATGAGTGGCAGAGGCAGGACTTAGATCTACGGCCACCATTACCTGTGATCTTCTATAAAGAGGTATAAGACAGAATCTCTGCTTTCAAAAACTTTATCACATATCTAACACAAAAAGTAAAAAGGTAAAATATGATGCCTTAAATTACTATAGCGATGAATCAGTACCAGTTTTTGTTATGTGAGGAAGATGATATCCCAATTATATAATAGACCCCTTTCACTTTTTTTTTTGATGGTTCAGATGGACCCTCTTTAGGTTTCGTATCTAAGACTAACATGCATAAATAAAATCCTCCAGCTTTGGAATATCCCAATCCTGAAAGAATAGCAAATAAAAAAATAGCACTATTATCATTTATTATCTTCCCTGGTATTGTGCTATGTCCTTCATTTATACTATCTAATTTAATTCATTCAACAACCCTATGTAATAATTATTATTCAGACATTACAGATGAAGAAACGAACGTGGAAGTTTTAAGAATTCCCTTAATATATCTAATCCATTCCCACTCTCATGAAACAATAACTCATTAGAAAGATATACAGATAAACACCAAATTTTCAACCTTGAGATTATAACAATATGAAGTACTATCACCTATCTTTATTTTGTTCTCACCTGAAGAATGTTATCTTGAAAAAGGAGGTGTATAGAATATCAATTGAAAGTAGTGATGCTCAAATGAAGTTTTTTTTAAAAAAAAAACTTCCACTGTTGGCCGGGTGCAGTGGTTCACACATGTAATCCCAGCACTTTGGGAGGCTGAGGTGAGCGGATAACGAGGTCAGGAGTTCGAGACTAGCCTGTCCAACATAGTGAAACCCCGTCTCTACTAAAAATACAAAAATTAGCCTGGCATGGTGGTGCACACCTGTAGTCCCAGCTACTCGGAAGGCTGAGGCAGAAGAATCGCTTGAACCCGAGAGATAGAGGTTGCAGTGAACCAAGACTGCACCACTGCACTCCAGCCTGGTTGACAGAAAAGACTCTATCTCAAAAAAAGCAAAACAAAACAAAACAAAAACTTTCACTGTGTTGCAGATTGATTCTTTTATAAAGTACAATAAAAAGTGTTGTGGCACTGTCAAATTGTTAAAATAGTTTCTAGAAGCTAAATATTGTCTGTATGTATGTTATCATAGATGTGTAGCAAACAGTTCACACAGTCTGTGAAACACACTTTGAGAAGCAGTGAACTGATAGAAAGTTTCTTAACTGGAGACATATCCAATTAGAATTTAGCTATTAAAAATTATTTCTGCTAATATGTTCATAACCATAAATAGAGCTAAACAGCTATACTTTGAGCTGATCAACATAATACTTGTGTAAGCATATTCTTATTTTCAAATATAAGGATGACTTCAAAGTGGTACTCTCCTTATACTTCTCAGAAACCCAATCTTTAAAGCCTACATTATAGGCAAAAATCACAAAATTAGTTGATCCATCAAGAATGAATACCCCCAAATTTATGATTTATTACTATTTGTAATATTTGTACTTCTATTTCTACTCTTCACACTAGCTAAGTTAGGTAGGAAGTTTCGTGGGTTTTTCTCTCCCTGAATTTTATGACAATAACAAATAGTGAATTATGTGAGAATGCTGAGAGGCTTAAGTTTCACAAACACCTACATTTAATGGGTTTTAGGGACATCTTTAGCCACAATGTTACAGGCTAACACCTCTCATCAGGCATACTCTCAACAATTAATAGCTTTCAAAATACAGTTTTCTCCACTTGTTGTATTATAATGGAAATAAAAGCTAGGAAAAACCTCAGATACTAATTTAGGTTAAATCTTTTTTTATTTTTCCCTTCAAGAGAAGTATACTGTCTGTTAAATTTAGAGTATTTTTTGTAACCTTCTTGAGCATTTTGTTGCTATCTAGACTTCAGATGCAACATAAATTTAAGAGTGTTTATTACATTTCACAGTTTATTTCTTAATAATATTAAACAAAACAGTAATTAAGCAATAATAGTTAATGTGTATTATAGTTCACATGGTTTTTTACTTCAACATCTGATTTTTCCTCGTTGCTACTATACCTAACATGTATTCAATATTTTAAAAAACAACACCAGGAATCATAGATTCTATTCTTGACTGAGCACAAAACATTGTAGGTACTCAAGGATAGACTGAATAAATGACAAATGCAATGACCTTTTTGGATCATGATGTAATATAAACCAGTTTCACCATCTCAGTTATCTGCTATAAAATGGGATACCACTCCTCAGCAAAACAGGAATATTTCCAGGGAGTGTAGAAGAGATCCTTGAGATAATCTGGACCTTTGAGATAATTAAGATATTCACAGGGGCAGAAAGCTGAGGCCGGCTTCCAGGTCACAAAGTTAATTAAAGGCACAACTGAAACTTAAGAAGCCAGGTCTGTCTATTGGCTCCCAGTTCAGTACTCTTTCTGGCACAAATGCACTGGACCACATGTGGTCTCTTCAACTTAACAAGCATTTGTGACTTTATTCTTTACATCTAAATAAGTGACCTATCTGAATCTGAAAACACTAAAGATAGTGATCATTTTAAACAGGACCCTTTCAATGGAGGGCTGAAGGCAATGTTTTCTTAAAGAGAACTCTTATTTTTTGATAGCCCCACCTCATCTCCAAAAATATCTAAATCTAGAAGGGAGAAACACAATCATTTTTCTTTTTATGAGAAAGCATATTATTTTAATAGTTATATATAATTAAAACAGAAACTGTGAGTCTTGCAAATTTCAGTGTTATATAAGATATTTCATTCTTAGTCATATATTACCCCCAGTGAAACCTCATTTCATCAGCTTTAGACTATTACTAGAAAAAAAAAAAAAATACCAAAACTTAAATTCCACTTACCTTCAGATGCCATTTTCTCAGTTCCTGTATGTTTCATTCGTTCCCAGGAATTTTTTTCCTTCTTTTCACAATCTTTATTGTGAAACAGTTCTTTCTCTTCTTTTCTCTTTTGTCTCATCTTATTATAAGTAGATTTTGAAATAGAAACTTTAGCCTGCATGAAAAAGTTGAAAATCTGAAAATACTCAGGGAGTTTGATACTTAAAATATCTTTGTCTCAGATAACTAATTTGTCTCTGAGGATATTAGTCTTTCACTACTTAGGTGTATCCTAGAAAACGGAATATATACATACATATATATGTATATATAGTACACGTAAAATATAAAGTACACAGAGAATAAAAAGTATATTACATACTTTATCCCCAGAATAAGAATGCCTTTATTAAGTGGGAAGGGTGGATAATCTATTATTTAAATGATTAAGGATCAAAATTTCTTTCTTTTTTTTTTCCCCCTTGAGACAGTTTCACTGTGTTGCCCAGGCTGGAGTACAGTGGCGCAATCATGACTCACTGCAACCTTGACCGTCCGAGCTCCAGTGATCCTCCTACCTTAGCCTCCCAAGTAGCTGGGCCCACAGGCACGCATGGCTGTGGCTACATTTTTGTATTTTTTCTAGAGAAAATAGGCTCTCTACTTTCTGTGACTAATTTTTGTATTTTTTCTGGCCAATTTTTGTATTTTTCCTGGAGACAGGGTTTTGCCACATTGCCAAGGCTCAAAATTTCAACTGTACTAAGGCTTTTAAAATTTTAATCGAAATACTTTCACCACCCCACATCTGATATACACAAAACAATGACATACTGTAAGCTTAAATTTACTCTAATAATTAGCAAATAACCTTACATCTTTTTCATTCTCAACATCAAGATATGATGAAATATTTTGCTGGACTGATCTTCCATAAATCCCTGATGGTGGTTCAATACTTTGTTTACTTGAAAATGTATCCCCATTTTCCACAGAAGATATCACTGATTGGCTGCAGGTTGCTGGTGCTGAACTTAAACTTCCAAATACGCCTGAAATCAACCAACCACCAAATAGTCATTAACTAATTATGTGATGGTAATCTAGATAACACAGTTTAAGGTAAGGTTCTTGCCTTCAAGAATCAAACAACACAATTAATAAGAAAAACTGCTAAATAATTATAAAATATAAAAACAAATACCCTAACAGGGCAATAATATAAGAGGTGCCAGAAGGCAGTTCATGATAATAAGTGAGAGCTGCATATTACAAGTGGTAAGCACACATAAAGAAAAGGTTGCTGTGAGCTGTTTTTGTTTTCTGTTTGTTTGTTTGTTTGTTTCAAGATAGTCTCTCTCTGTCACCCAGGCTGGAGTGCAATAGCACAATCTCGGCTCACTGCAACCTCCACCTCCCAAGCTGAAGCAATACTCCCACCTCAGCCTCCTGAGTAGCTAGGACTACAGATGCACAGTACCAGGCCTGCCTAATTTTTTTTTTTTTTTGGTAGAGATGGGGTTTTGCCATGTTGTCCAGGCTGGCCTTGAACTCTTGAGTTCAAGTAATCTGCCCGCCTGGGCCTCCCAAAGTATGGGGATTACAGGAGTGAGCCACTGCGCCTGGCAGTTGGGTGTTTAAGATGGTTTCAAGGAGCAAGAATTTGAGCTGGAATTTGAAGACAGGAAGGATCTGTATAAAGTAAAGGAGAGAGAGAAATCTATGAGATGGTGATGTTTACATGCAGAGTTGAATGTTTATAAAGCATTTATGTGGAGCGAATAAATGAGCTTGGTTGGGCAAATAAAGGAATAACAGAAAATAAGTTTACAAGAGTAAGCTGTAGCCAATCTGAGGAGGGTTTTAAAATAACTTAATGGGCCAGGCGCGGTGGCTCAAGCCTGTAATCCCAACACTTTGGGAGGCCAAGACGGGCGGATCACGAGGTCAGGAGATCGAGATCATCCTGGCTAACACGGTGAAACTCCGTCTCTACTAAAAAATACAAAAAGCTAGCCGGGCGAGGTGGCGGGCGCCTGTAGCCCCAGCTACTTGGGAGGCTGAGGCAGGAGAATAGCGTAAACCTGGGAGGCGGAGCTTGCAGTGAGCTGAGATCCGGCCACTGCACTCCAGCCTGGGCGATAGAGCGAGACTCCGTCTCAAAAAGAAAATAAATAAATAAAATAACTTAATGAGACTATCAAGCTACGAAGTTAGGAAAAAATTTTCAAGACTTTTATTCTATTTCATCATATTGAACAAAAATAAGATGCATACCCTCAATGTATACCACTACATTCTAGTTTTCAATTAAAATAGAAAATAGCTTTAAAGGATACTTGCAATAATTTTGTTCAAGGTCCCTTAGCCCCCTTAAAATATATAATGGGAGTTTAATTTTCACTTGCCTAGATTTTGTATGGGAGATAATTACATTGATTATTAAGCTGATAAATAAAGGCTATTTGAATTTAAACTATGCTAAAACTAAGTAAGCTATCCTAAAACTGTCTTAGAAGTACCT